CGCCCGTCGCGGACGACCCAAACGTGGCCCCGCCGACGAGGCCACAGTTGCCGCAGTTCGACTTTGAGAAGTCACGGAAGGAAAGGCAAAGGCAGAGATCGGCATCGCTTTCTAACGCAAAGGTGGATGTCAATGCTGCGCACGGTGAGAAGAGGACGGGAGATGTCACTGCTACCTTTGATCGTCTCCAAGCATACGCTCAACGGGAGTCTGGCGCAGTGAGCGTCCACAAGTCTGATGCCCATCACGATGGCGGCGCTGAGGCTGTTCATACCGCTGTCGCCACAGGCGCGCGCCCCGAGTCTCCACTGCGGAAAGCCAAAAGTGTGCCGTTCATCCGGCGCCCCGTGCGACGCGATAACCCCCCCGCGCTGCCGCACCCTCCTCTGCTACCCACGTCCACGTCGCTTCCCACAAAGCTCGCGCCACCGACGTTCTTCCAGAGCCCGCGGGAGGCTCCGCAACCTCCGCGGACGCCACCGAACGTGGATGAGGGGATGGTATCGTTCATGCATATCACGCCGGAGCAGGACGGCGAGGCGGGTGTGGGGGCGGGTGTTGGTGGAGGGTCGAGGATGAGTAGACTGTGGAGTCGGGCTCGGGCGGGAATGGGGATGGGGGTTGGTGAGGGCGGGAAGAGGAGGGAGTCTGGGATGATCAAGAGGGAGAAGAGTAGTCGGTGGTTGAGGGGGAGCGCGGTGCAGGCGATGGCTTGAGAAGGCTCTGCGTCCTACTGGTGCTTTATTGTTCCGTGTGTTCTCAATTGGTTGGATGGAATGGAAATAGGAAGGCAATGGACTGGAACTCGCACTGTACACTACGCATTGTTATGTCTCTGTTCTTGTGTCGTTGTGCATCATGATTGTTGGTCGTCATTGTTAGTTGGAGCGTACTCGTACCTGTCGTACTTTCATGGCTATGTCTAGTATCTTCTTTCTCGTGCAACATACTTGTAAAAGTGATCAAGTCCTCACAGATGTCGGGAAATTCCTGATGTTCCATTCCATTCGCACGACTTCTGTATATGTTGAATTGAACCTGTGTACTCGTGCCTGCCGCATGTTCCTCTTGAGTCCTCTTGTTGACCAACCACATGAAAGGAATCGATCACTATCAAGGAAGCACAGAATCCGGTGGTCTGTTCCAAATATTCGCACGTATCGGCCGCTGAATTGAGCTGTACAATTGGATGGTCATGCCATAGCATGTGCAAGCAGCATGTCGAGATACCAGTTCACGCCGAGCTCCATCACAGTCTCGAACATGCATCGTGCTGTACTGCCTCTGGCGGCCGAGCGCACGTCCATATATCAGGACTTGAGCTTTGGATTCCATCACATTAGCGAACTACTCGCAGCTCATCATGCCAACCGTTGCACACTACGACATCTACGCCAAAGAGTTATTTCGATGCGGGTACGGGTTGCCTCTGTGGTATCCCGAGCCTGACTCCAAATATGGTGAAGTCCTCATCGGGGACGTCGGGTTCCTGCAGGGCGGTGCATTCATCCGTCTGTTCAATGCTACTCGTCCAGCCGATGATGAAGTCAACAACGTCTATGGCGTACCGGACGATTTTGAGCGGTTAATTCTCAAGCCACGGGATATAAATGAGCGCAGCAACGCGATCAATGCTGGTGCGGTGTGCAGCAAGACTGTCACCACCGCGAAGGTCGATGCTGAGGTCGGCGTGTGAGTAGTACCGTGACGGTGATTATTGAAATGGTCTCTGACGTTCACACTAAACCATATTCCCTATATCACAGTCGAGAGGCGGGAGGTTCATTTCATTTTAACTGCGTGGACCGCCAGGGAGCATTCTTAGTTCTAAAGGAATCCGCGAGTCAGCAGCAGCTCTTACAGCGCAAAAGTCTATCCACGTACTTGCTGCATAACATACCAATCTGGCATGTGTTTGCTCAAGACGCCAAAGGCTGTGACATGGACCTCGCGGCGGAAGATATCCTCTTCGTTTCTGGGTGGGTCAAGACAACGGAGTGGGCTCTGGGAGCATTCACAGGGGGCCAACGTTCGATCAAAGTTGGGCTTACCGCAGAAGCGATGGCGCATGCAGGCGGCTCATTTTCATTCTCCCGTGCCCAAGATATCGCCATACCTTGGAGGTATGGGCCGACATCCGTCAATGATGCGTCAAGTGGCACAGAGCAAGCAGAACAGCGGCCGGCCTCGCGGCGCGAACGACGCAGACAGAGGCAAACCGCTTCGCGAGTAGGGCCACATGCGGGGGCTAGTAACGAGTCGCGAGAACAGTCACGGACGCCGGATCAGTGCATTTTCTTGCACTACTATAAAATGAAACCGCGTTCGATGTTCCGTCCAAGACAACTCAAGGCGGCTGCAGTTCCCAACAAGCTTGATGATGGCCAGGATGATGATTTAGATGCCACCATGTTGCCAGTTAATCAAGATGCGAAGCATTCACTCAACGACTCCACAAGCAATGACGATCAAGGCGAGATAGAATGCATTCCAGACCTTGACAAGGTACGTTGAGCTTCTATTGCCACAGGAACCTTGGCTAAACATTGTGTACTAGCCATATGAACCAGCACAATTATTGCTTGACTACATTCTGGAGGTATGAGTGTTGTTATTCTCTTAGCGCAGATTGATTAATCCAGTCGGGCTGGTGTAGCATTCACATGCGGATATTGCAATGGTGGATGATGAAGAAGTATTTGATATCATGCAAGTAAGTTGATGCTGCATTTCTGCCAGATGATGCTGAACTGAATGGCTGCTATAATGATACAAAGAACACACCATATGACGACATTGAGGATGTTTTGCAACGCCGCCCACCTGCTATATATGTGCATGAAAATGGCGGTAGGTGATTTGACTGATCCTCAAAATGATTGCTCACCATCAATTAGTTGGAACTATTACAGTGAGAGCCACTACTTGGTCTTTATCAATGAGGACAGTTAACCGCGAATATGCAGTATGCTAATGGAGGATTGTCTCGTGTACGTCAACAACTCACTTCAGTCTCATGATGATATGCTGACTGTTGGAAGCAGGGCTTCCCAACAGTGGGAATTTCCGATATCGGTCAAGGATGGGGATACAGCTCGGATGTTAACTCTCAGCCGTTGACAGCGCAACCGTATCAAGGTGTTCAACGGTTTATTCAGGATATTGACAACCGTCAACATGGAGGGGCGTATAGTGTTCGTAAATATATCCATCTGCTCAGTGATGTATTGCTGATCATCACGCGGGTCAGTCCTCATCGTTGGGCTGGCACATTGACGGTAAAGAGGGAATAGAACACCATCCTACTGTCAAATTGATGACGAAGATGACGGAGCCACTGCAGGCTGTCCCATACCAATTGTATCGTCCGTCCAAACCATACCACGCTGTTAAAATTCTAGATCTCAGGGGACATGACATAACCTTGTTGGACGTGTTGCGTTCGGACCCCTCGCATTTCCCAAGCCTACCGGAATTCTCACCAACATTGGATTTCGGTGAAAAGGTATCAATCTGGATATCTGTACGTTTCTGTAGACGTTTTGCGGTGAATAAGTGCTCATCCATGAGTTTTGACTGCGACAGTGGGAGGGATGTGGCGGCTACAGCAAGGAGGTTAAAATCCGACAGGCGAACATGAGCAAAGATTATATTTCTTCAGCTATGTTCTTGAAAAAAGTCACTAGAACGTTCCAAGCTTTCATGGAAGTAGGTTCTATACACTATGTTCGCCGCGATGTTCATGCCTATTCTCACATGCAGGAGCATCCTCACATCATGGGACGACTTGTATTGGAGAATATCGTTCTCTTAAGCATCATTCGAGTTGGAAGGGCCACCGTACAACCATCCTTCGCTCTCAAGGCCTAAAGCTACCATTAGTATGTGTTCGTCAGTGGCTATATTGCTTGCGAATGCACTGACCCAGATTTTGTCCAGTACTCCACATTCAGAATTTCACGCATTTCGTTGTGCCGCTAATGAGCGAAAATGCGTTCGCAGCTCTTCGTCAATGATGCTAGTACATGACCCACTGTAAAGAACATGCTCCGAAATTCTGAATTTTTACACATTACACTCGTCGTTGTAGATCGCCGTTTGCATTTCTGGTCTTCCGCTTGTTCTTTCCCCATATCGCTCGTAATTCTCGCTATTCGTCTTTTTTGTTTAATCTCAAGATCGAATGTATTCAGTGTCCATCAATGTTCGCCACGACTGTCTAGTCTCGAACCATCCCCTCGCGGACACCTTAAAGGGACTGGGACACAATCAGCCAGGGTCTCGGGCGGCAGTCAGAGGTGTACGATGCCGAAATGTTTGCCCTGGCAACAGATAACTGAGCATTTCCCCTCGCCGTCGCTTCTCACGCTGCCGCCACTCCTCACGCCCAACACGTTCGGCTGCGTGGGCTTCTCACCATTCGCGTCGGCAGCGGGCACGCCCGTCGCGGACGACCCAAACGTGGCCCCGCCGACGAGGCCACAGTTGCCGCAGTTCGACTTTGAGAAGTCACGGAAGGAAAGGCAAAGGCAG